CATGTTTCTACGAAAGAACGCTCCAGCCGAAAAGGCGGCAAAGAAGTAGAATATTTTTGGGACTCAACAGACGTAGGTACTTATGTTTCTAAGGTAACAAATATGTCCAAAGGTGATTAAGCAAGTAGCAGAGAGATATCACAAACCAACTTTTAGGACGAGTACCTTTCATGTGATACTCCTAGTAACGTTTGATAGGTTTTACAATTTGATCCATTCTCTTGGTTACTCAAATGTCTTACCCCTGTTTTTATTTTATAGCACACATCTAATATTTTCTGTGTAGAAGCTCAAAAAATGGGCTCCTCAATTACTTTTCTAGCAGGAACAGTTGGTTGTATCATTGAGAGGCAAATTGATCAAGATCATGAATCTCGTGCTGGATGTTACATTGAAAATGGAGCATGCTTAAGCAATTCCATTCTACCTATTTTTGGCATAAAATAGATGCATGTGTTTTACCTACTTAATTATGTGAAAGCCATCAACTACTAGCTCACTGTCAAAGTTTCCGCAATGAGTAAGAAGCAAAATTAGGGGATTCAATAAATAGATTAAAACACCCATAGATGAACGAGCATTTCTCGTAGTGAGCAGAACATACAGCCCAATTGTGTGTCTTCGCAAGCCTTCGTGCAAGAGCATTTATGCAATATGCAACATCAGCACGAGGTCTTGAAGCCGAAATAGCACTGAAAATAGCTGCAATAAAAGTTATTTCCATCAACAATGTTCGTGGTAGGAAAGAAGAATGCCAATAACTGTAATACATGGAGAAAGTTTATGATAAGAAGCTGAACCATGTAATCACGAAATAATTATCCAACATGTCACAAAGTATAAATCTGACAAATTGCCACTCACTTTGGATATATTTCTCTTTTGCCAGCATTTCAACATGGCTAGTGGCCTTGACAATTGCAATATCTAGTTCCTGTTACAAGCAAAGAAATAGATATAATGATGTCTCCTAAAAACGGATTCACAAATTTATATGTCTTCCAAAATTGCAGAAAAAATAACCTTGTAATCGCTGTTCACTTTCACCAATCCAACTGTTGTAGAGTCCTTCAATGCTCCAATAGCTTTTCGCAAGCTCTGCTGATCCATTCTGTTTTAATCATAGTAATTTAAGATTCAATTACAATAGAGCGGCAAATGTTAATTGATCAGAAGAGTGTAGATAGGAACATTCTAGCTCAACAAAATCGAAAGTAAGTACAGTGTGTAGTCGGCATATCCTGTATGTAAAATAAATCTTGTCCAGTACATGCATGCATCCTGCTTGCTGACTTACCTAATTAGACTAGAGAAATGTGAAAGTTATTTCTAACTTACATGAAACATAAAATATGCTCTCCACATGGTAATTAATCCCCGGGCGAGAATCCTTCAGGGAGCTTAAACTTCATCAATCTCGCCAAATAGTGCCTTTGCTCCATATAAATTGAGTGGAGAAACCTAGTGCACTGAAAATTATAAACTCCTTTATCTTCTTCTATTTTCTTTTCTTTTCTTTTTTTTCTTTTCTTTTCTTTAAAGGAAAATTTTAACAAGTGAGATAAGCAATTATTGTGCCTAAACTTTTACGCTATGTAGTAGGCATCATAAACTAAATTATCTTCTTCTATAATTTCGTTTAAACTAAACATCAACTTGTTATGAAAATATCAGACAAGCGAATGCCTCAAAACCCTACGTGACGCAAAATCACATTTCGTCTAAAATCTAACGTCAAAGACTCAAACCATCAGCATTCCTCGTTTTAACCCCCAAAAAAAAACGAAATTTCAAAGAGAGATTCCCAAGAAACGAAATGTTCAAGCAGCAGCAGCAGCAGAATCTGATCGAGGAACACAGTTTCAAGTTCCAACTCACAATCAAACGGACAAAATGGCATCGAGGCGACGAAACAAAGAGAGAGAGAAGGAGCTAGGGTTTTACGAACCTCGGGAGCGCGAAAATTCGGCCAAAGATTCGGCAGAGGAACGAGAACGAGAGACGAGGGGGATATTTTATTAATAAAGAAGCGGATTCGGATGAAAGGAGAAAGAATCAAGATTCCATTAACAGGGCGGCGGTGGATTATCATGATTAAATTTAATTAATTAATTAGTTAGCTTAAGTGACGTGGTTTAAGTTGCCGTGGTTGATGAGGATCGTTCGATCTGAAACGGACGGCTGTAAGCTGAGGATGGAGTTGGCACACCGAGATTTATGGTGTATATAAATTTTATTGAACAAATTTTCAAAACAGCCTCATTTAGAGTTTTATTTTTTAAAATCGACCGGTTTTTTTTATATTTATCAAAACCGACCCGCTTTTGTGATTAACCGGCTAATCACCTTACTAAATAGTCGGGGTTGGCAACCCCGACTATTTAGGACCTTAATTTTTAGTGTTTAAGATATCTAATCAGGGTTTAATACCCTCCTAAATAGTCGGGGTTGCCAACCCCGACTATTTAGGATGGTGATTTGGCTGCTAATCATAAAATCGAGTCGGTTTTGATAAATAAAAAAAAACCGGTCGATTTTGAAAAATAAAACTCTAAAGGGGTCTGTTTTGAAAAATTGTTTAAATTTTATTTGATTACTTTGCAGGTTTTTTTCTGTTGTGCCGGCGTTTTTGGGCCCACGGGTTTGTTAGAAGAAGCCCACGTGACGATATGCATCATGTAGCCGAAGTCATTTCTATAGAAACACGATAGTTGCATGACGCACGTGTGATAAAACAATTAAATTACCCTCTCCAAAAATTGCGAATGAAAAGTTTTACAGGCTTCTAGAGTAGTTTTTTTTAATTGCCATTATGATTATTTATGTTAATTTAGTATTAAGACAAGGGTTAAAAAAATATGGTTAAATTACGATAGGTATGTTAATATTGTATTTTCGAACAATTTTTCAAAACAGACCCCTTTAGAGTTTTATTTTTCAAAATCGACCGGTTTTTTTTATTTATCAAAACCGACCCGATTTTGTGATTAGTAGCCTAATCGCCATCCTAAATAGTCGGGGTTGGCAACCCCGACTATTTAGGAGGATATTAAACCCTGATTAGATGCCTTAAACACTAAAAATTAAGGTCCTAAATAGTCGGGGTTGCCAACCCCGACTATTTAGGAAGGTGATTAGCCAGTTAATCACAAAATCGGGTCGGTTTTGATAAAAAAAACCGGTCGATTTTGAAAAATAAAACTCTAAATGGGGCTGTTTTGAAAATTTGTTCTTGTATTTTCTGATTATAATTTCATCATCTCTATAATTTCACGGTTAATAATAACATGCACAACCATAATAACCTTGCCAATTGTACTGCATAGTAGGCATGCGATACGGTGATTATAATTCGAGGATTCGAACATACGAACTACATAGGCAAACAGACTGGAAGTGAAAAGATCCAAATTCACTACTACGCCCTAAAGATGAACAAATTTTCAAAATAAACTCATTCAAACTTTTGTTGGATTTAATCTAATAAATCTAATTATGGGCACATATGATTAATCAATGTGTATTGCTATCTTTCAGGATAACCCACTAAAGTGATCAATTAATTTGGGTTAATGGGTATTTAAATAAGTCATGGGGTTATATGTGCAGATACCAGGTTGTAATTGTAATTTGTTGAGGGGCCAAATTACAAAAGTACAACATCTATAAATAAGGGGTTATGATCCCTAATCTAGGGTTACATTCTCTAATTCTCTTCACCCCATCTAAGAGAGAAATTCGGTTCTAGAGAAAACCCTAAGGTTAGAAGATCCAAAAACCCAAAATCAAGATCAATCAATGGATTCAGGTATAAGCTTCCGCTCTTTTAGATTGTTGTTTAATCTCTTTGAATTAATCATGGCTATATGGTTTTAGATCTAAAGTTTTATGATTAAGATCTAACAAGTGGTATCAGATCCACCTTGATTAATTCTTAGGGATTTAAGTTCTTAAAATTGGGTTTTTTGATCTTAAATCTCTGGTTTTTTGGATTAAGTTTTGTTCAGGTGAACAGTAACGGCGGTTTGAAAAAAAAAAGTTTTTTGTTCGGATGAACAGTAAAGTTTTTTCGGATGAACAGTAGCTAAAAAATCACAGGTGAACAGTAACTTTTGGGATTTTTTGGATTTTTCTTCGATTTTTCTTCAATTTTTTTGGGATCTGGATCAAGAAATGATCTTTTGCTTTTCTAATTCTGGATCTGGATTTGAAAGATAAAATCGAGGAATTTTCGGATTATTTGGGTTTGGTCTTCAGTCCCATGCTCCTCGCCGGCGAACTTCGCTGGCGGCCTCGCCCTCGACTCCGACGGCGGCGGCGGCATCAGGAAACCCTAGGGTTTCGACCTTTGGGTGCAGGAGCAATGGCGGCGGCGGTTTCAGTTTGAAACCCTACAATGGCGGCGGCGGTTTCAGTTTGAAACCCTAAGGGTTCGTGCGATTAATCGTGGCGAAAATTAAGGACCGAACTTCGCGTTTGGTGTAAGGTGAGCATCGCGCTCAATTTAACGAACCTCGCGTTCGTTCTCATGTGAGCCTCGCGCTCAACTCAGGTGAGTCTCGCGCTCAAGTTTAACGAACCTCGCGTTCGTTCTCAAGTTTAACGAACCTCGCGTTCGTTCTAAAGTTTAACGAACTTCGCGTTCGTTCTAATGTGAGCCTCGCGCTCAGTTCAAGTTGAGCCTCGCGCTCAGTTCTAAGGTGAGCCTCACGCTCAACGAACTTCGCGTTCGTTCTAATGTGAGCCTCGCGCTCAGTTCTAAGTCGAACCTCGCGTTCAGTTCTAAGTCGAACCTCGCGTTCGTGCTTCAGTCGAACCTCGCGTTCGTACTTCAGTCGAACCTCGCGTTCAATTTTCTTTTAACGAACCTCGCGTTCGTTCTCAAGTTGAACCTCGCGTTCATTTTTCAAACGAACCTCGCGTTCGTTCTCAGACGAACCTCGCGTTCGTGCTTAAGTGAGTCTCGTACTCAATACAGTCGAACCTCGCGTTCGAAGTCAAGCGAACTTCGTGTTCACTATGCTTAAGCCTCAGCTTTTCATGGGTCCACTTTGGTATACTTAATTTATTCAACTAAGTTATGGGCCCTAATTAAGCTGTGATGAGATGTTTGTGTGTATGCTTTCGTGTAAATATTTAATCGGCCCAAAGGAAGGTTAATATTTATTTAGACTGTATACACATCTGCGATGATAAGCGTGTGACAATTATAAGGTTTACATGTGAATAATGAATCGATCCAAAGATAGTTTCATTATTTGACATGAGTTATTGTCAATGTTTGATCATTGCAACAAGGTATCACTTACAAGTTAATATTACTGTCCAAAGACTTGATATTAATGTTGTGCCGGTATCTTGGATGGGGATTGTCATTATTTGAATTTTATTGATTATGGTTATTGATGTGAGCATTTTTTGTTTTATTTCAGCTAATGCATCTGCTGCAACAATTTCTGCTAACATCAACTCAATTCCCATGCTAAATGGGACAAACTTCAAGGTTTGGAAAGAGAACATATTAATTGTTCTTGGCTGCATGGATCTTGACTATGCATTAAGAACTGAACAACCCCAACCTCTCAATGCGGATAGCACTCCTGATGCAAAGAAGGAGCATGAGAAGTGGGAGCGTTCAAATCGCATGAGTCTTATGATCATTAAGCGTGGCGTTCCGGAAGCCTTCAGGGGTATAGAATCCGAAGGGATTAGTAAGGCTAAAGATTTCCTTGCCGAAATTAAGAAGCGTTTTACAAAAAACGATAAGGTAGAAACAAGCACGCTTTTAGCTCGCTTGATTTCGATAAAGTATAAGGGCAAGGGAAACATCAGGGAGTACATTATGGAAATGTCTCATATTGCTTCAAAACTTAAGGCACTTAAACTCGATCTTTGTGATGAGTTATTAGTGCATCTGGTTCTGTTATCTCTTCCTGCACAGTTTAACCAATTTAAGGTCAGTTATAACTGTCAAAAGGAGAAATGGACTCTAAATGAGCTCATTTCATACTGTGTGCAAGAAGAAGACAGGTTGAAGCAAGATAAGACAGAAAGTGCTCATTTGGCCTATGCCTCTAAGGATAAGGGCAAGAAAAAGAAGAATGATAAGGAAGCTGCTAAGGGTCCAGTTGAGAAGAAACAACATAAGGATAATCAGGGTTGTTTCTTCTGTAAGAAGCCTGGACATGTAAAGAAGGACTGTACAAAATATCACGCCTGGCGTGATAATAAGGGTACGTTCCTTACTTTGGTCTGTTCTGAGGTTAATATAGCTTCAGTACCTAGAAACACTTGGTGGTTAGACTTTGATGCTACTACTCACATAAGTGTTTCTATACAGGGTTGCCTGAGCTACCGAAAGCCAAGTGATGTTGAAAGACACATCTTTGTGGGCGACGGACAATCGGTAGATGTGGAAGCAATTGGGCACTTTAGGTTGTTGTTAGGAACTGGTTATTATTTGGATTTAAAAGATACTTTTGTAGTACCGTCTTTTAGACGGAATTTGGTTTCTGTTTCTGTATTGGACAAATCAGGTTATTCTTGTTCATTTGGAAACAGTCAATTCAGTTTATCTTTTAATTCAAATGTTGTGGGAACCGGTTACTTGAGTATTTATGACAACCTATATTTGCTTGATACAATTGCTTCTTACAATGAATCCTTGCATGTGGAATCACGTGGTACTAAGCGTAAATTAAATAAGGAAAATTCGGCGACATTATGGCATAAGCGCTTAGGTCATATCTCAAAAGGTAGAGTTGAGCGTCTTGTGTCTGATGGCATTTTGGATTCCCTTGATTTTTCGGACTTCGACGTATGTGTTGAATGTATCAAGGGAAAACAGACCAAAGTGAAAAGATTAGGTGCCAACAGATCTTCGGATGTCTTAGAATTGATACATACGGATATTTGTGGGCCATTCCCTACGGAATCCTGGAATGGTCAACAATATTTTATATCATTCATAGACGATTACTCACGTTATGGGCACCTATATCTTATTCATAAAAAATCTGAGTCTCTGGACATGTTCAAA